TGAGTATCTGGGTCATATGTATACTGTGAACGTATGAGTATCGTGGGTAATATTTATACTATGAACGTATGAGTATCTGGGTCATATGTATACTATGAACGTATGAGTATCTGGGTCATATTTATACTATGAACGTATGTTTGAGTGTGGTATTTGTATGTCCACTGAAAGTATTGAGGGTGTGTGTTTTGCCTTTGGTCAATCTGATGGCCGCTCTCAGTAACGATACGTTTTTATTTATGTATAAATATGGATTGTTTATTAGATTGTTTTATGTAATTGTATGAATACGATATATCCTTGGGTGCACTTTTATATGTCAAATGTGTTGTTTATAGGGTTATCTCCTGTATATGTGATGTAAAGTACAATTATAAGTGTCGTGGTCTGCGTGCGTGTGCGCATGTGTGTGCGCATGCCCTCTGTTTTGACACCTATATACCACTGACGCAGAACCATCATATCTATATAGGTTTTGTGTACGAGACTCTTCAATCACATACGCCATGACAAGCACTTTCGACTGAGTTTTTGTTGACAACGTAGATTTCTGTTCAGGTCTATAGGATGGTTTGTTCACCGTGAGATATGTGGTATTTATATCTGTGGAAGTGCATTCCTATCATAAAACGGCTCACAATTAAATATATGTGTACTACAGATTTGTCGTTTTGTTATAAACAAATACTTCTACAAACCAATAATACTTTGAAATGACTAGTGGCATATAAAGCTGCGAAAATAAAGTCTGCACCGCAGGTCTTGTGCTATGCTTTCGCATAGTAGTTACACTTGCGCCGTGCTTTCAGTATGTGACATTTGTAGCACAACTGACTGGTACACTGAATTGTGGCGCGTCATATTAATATACTCAAATCTCGGGTAAGTTACTTATCGTAGGTTATTTGCTACACTTATGACAGCGTAATGTGTTAACACCTCAGATGGATGTTTTTAGGAGTATATGCAATGCTTGCAACATGTCTATGTACTTCTATCTCAGGCGAGCACCCTACATTGGCACATAATGTACTCCCCTCACCATTACATGCTTATATCTTATTGGTAAATATAGTGGCATAATATGTACATGCAAGTTGTTTATAAACTTACATCTCAGATAAGTACCATATGGTGACATAAGATGCTAACGGCATGTTTTAATACTTAAATTTCCAGGTTGCTACTTTTATACTTCAAGCATGTTTGCATACCTTTGTCTCAGGTGGATAGTGACATATACTGTATTTACGGTATGTTTACATAATTACATCTAAGATAGATACCTTATAGCGACATATAATTGACTTACATGTTTACACCATTTACGTTTCAGGTGGATACCCGAGGAATGGTGCTGGCTCCAGGGTTTTACGAAAACGTTCGCGATGTCAGGTGAGGCGTACTGTTCAGGCCAATGTTCTCTTCACGAGCGTTACTCGCTTGTGGGTGTGGGTGTTAGGTAGTGGTCGATAGCCTGGCGAGTTGATGTGTACTCGGATTCTTCACTTCGACCCAATATTGTGTGGTGTGGTGTCAACGTTTTGGTTATTTACGGCCTTTGAAATTTGAGTTTCGGGGTTTTGGGGCACAGAGGCTTAATATAGCCAAAATGAGTAGGAAGACTTGAACTGAACATATGCAGAGTTTTCTCGAGATTTTCTTTGCCTTTTGGAATGGGTTAGAGGGCCACAGATGGTTCATGCATGAACGCATATACCTTTATCTCTAGCTA